ACATATGCAGTTGGAAATTTGAAACGCCCATAATATGTGTTGTTGTCGGGGGAGCTCGGGTAACGGCAATGCAAATGTGTTTCCCCGGGAGTGAAGCTGACCGCAGTGTAGCGATGGAGTCCTGATAAGCAAGTTGCGATACACGGTGCTGTGTGGTTATTGACTGCCACAACGCTGAACACGGTCCGCCCAACCAATTCTGTGTTCATGTGCTCATGGCCCTTGAAATGGCGAATGTGGGGCGAGCTCCAGAGGCTGCAGTGGGCTTGCTGAAGAACTCTGAGAGCAGCAGCACGCCCAATAACAACACCAGCAAGATGAAAAGTAGCAGCGACAAGAGCAAAGACATCTGGATGAAGATTGTAGAACACAACAAGGCGATGGCCCGTGCAACGGGCGGTGATCGCCCTGATTCTCACCTCTTTGTGGTAGGAAGTCCTCAGGGAGGGAAGAGCACGCTCATTTCTCGCTTCCTGAACCCGGAGAAAGAAGAGGCGGTCAGACCGACGAGAGGGCTAGAATACACCTATGCCCGCCGGCAGGCCAGGGGCGTAGCACCCGCTGGTGCTGGGGCGCTCGACCCTCGAAAGGAGGTAGCACATGTCTGGGAGATATCGGGCAAGCGAGAGCTGTCGGAAGCGATAGCGAGCCGCGAGGGTGTGTTCTTGTCGCTCATGATGCTCGCGACATCGGTTGTGTTGATCGTCGTCGACCTATCGAAGCCGCACGAGGTGCTCGACACCCTCCTGTTCTGGCTGCGAAAAGTTCGCGAAAGGGCCGAGTCTTGCTACCAAAGACTGCTGAAGAGGGGTTCCAAGCTGCCCGAGCAGATGATGGCGAGGTCAAGGCGGCAATTTGGGCTCAGCCACGAGGACAGAGATCAAGTGCGCTTGATCGGTATACCCCTGGTGATCGCGGCGACCAAGCATGACGTCTTCAAGAGTCAGGAAGCGGAGCCCTGCAAAATAATGGCGCGGGTGCTGAGGTACTTTGCGCACTTGAGCGGGGCTCACTTGGTGTACCTAGGGGGTCTTGGGGTCGGGAAAGACAAAGAAAGGCCAGGAACAATCGGACCCGACAGGGGAGTGTTGCAGGATCATGCATCGCGAGCAAGGAGCCGATCGCAAGAGAAAGCCGCCGTCGATCACTTCCGATCTCTTCTCAACCACCTCCTTTTCTTCATTCCGCTCCCTAAAGTCGTGGAGTTCGATCACAACAGGCTATTGTGCGTACCTGTGGGATCGGACAAGTTCCGCGACATTAGCCGTCCCAAGGCGAACGACAACAATGTGAACTACAACCCTTGGGAGTCAGGGGTGGGGCTCGGCGGCGACCGGCAGAGATCTGTGCTCTCTGCCATTACAACAACCACGGCGGCAGCAGTAGCAGCAGCAGCAGCAGCAGGAGGAGGAGGAGGAGGAGGAGGAGTGGGTCAAAAGCAGGAGCGTGAGGCGGGAGGGATATTCCCCTTCCAGAGCACATCATCAAGTGCAGTGGGCGGAATCAGTCCTGGACCAACCGACGATGACCGGGAGGTGGTCCAGTGGATGAACCTTGTTCAGAACACGTTCCCGACTCCTAACCCCGAGCCGCAGAGGCCATGGAGCTTGGACTCAGATAAATATAAAGAGCCAGAGATAGATGCGATCAAGGCGAAAAGGGAGGCGGAGCTGGCGGAGGGAAAAAGGATGCAGTACAAGGCCAACACAGAAAGCAACCTCTTCCATTTCCCGCCACCTAGCAGGGGTGCCACGTCAGAGCAATCGGTCTCAGTGTAGGAGAGCAGGTCTGGTTGGGTGTGTATTGTTGCGTAGCTTAGTATCGCTTACTACATCGCATAGCTTTTCTAACACATTCTGCGGGAATTGGTTAGCTGGATATTCCTTTTCTTCACTTTTGCCTATGTCACTATGTGTGACTCTTTGGGAAGCTATCTATTCCTCTTCTTTGCGTTTCCAGATGCTTCGGCAATGAGCTAGAAAAGGGTAGGGATGTGAAATCCACATGTTTTCTTTGTTTCCTTTCGATTCATTTGCCATTGACACTGTTTATTGTTGTTGTTGTTTTTGTTGTTGTTTCGATTTCGAGTTCCCTGCCCCCTTTTCCCCCATCTCCTCAGGGCCCCTTCGAATCCTTGTTTGCACAACAACAAAGCTAATAAGGCTTCTTTTTTTTCCTTTTTTTTTTTTCCCAGGGGCCAATGCTCCAGTCTATTCGTGAGCCGAAAAATGTGCTGGGAAACAGGCCCAGCCTCCATTATGAGAACATTAAAATACAGAGCACAATTTTTATTATTATTATTATTATTATTATTATTTTAAATAATACAGAGCACAATTTGAAGTACTAGGGCCATTACCTGGCTTTGGCTGAGAACATTCTGAGATATTCAGAAAATTGAAAATTCGTGAACAACAAAAAATTAATAATAATAATAATTAAAAAAAATCATGAACAGTCTGCAGATAGGTTACCGCGGCGGACGTCTGCAGATAGGTTACCTCCTCCTTCACGTTGTTCTCCCACTCCTCCTCCTCCTCCTCCTAGTACTTTCTGAATATCCCCAGGTTGTCCGAGTGATCAGGTCGAACAACTCCAAGAGACGTCCAGCCAGGAGGCTTCGTCGGGCTCCTGACAGAATAGGAGAGCCACAGTTTTTGGCGGTTTTCGGGACTGGACGACGTGGACGTGTTCGGGGGGTCACGGGGTGGTGGGGCCAGGCCGGAGACATTTTGGGGGGGGGCTGTTAGGGCCTCAAAACTTGAGAAAAGGCCCAATAAAGTAGATTTCTTAAAGTTTTGAGATTCGTCCAACTTTGTATTTTGGAAGCATAAACAGTATATGGATTTTTTTATTTTTTATTTTATTTTTATTTTTATTTTTTTACACAAAACACAAAGCTCCATCTATTGGTGGGGAGCAACACCTGCTGGAAACCGGGTCCAGCGTCCCATAGATACAACCATATCCTCACAAATTGGCACAAACTGGGAACCGGGCCCAGCGTCCCATAACGAGTGCGTTCAGAAAACTTCATCAGAAAGATTCCTACTAGAAAATCTTAGGCTTTTGGAACATGGGATACCGAGGCCCAACTACTTCAGACATGTCCCTGATAACGTCATGATTAAGCAAAAATTCAAAACAACTCAGAAAACCCCCCATCAAGCCCCTTTACCACCCTCCGGCAAGACTGACTGCAGCGGAGCCACCATCTCTGCTGCTGCTATGCCATACTCCCATCCCACCAGCTAGCCCCCTCACTGGTAGGACGCGTGATAACCCACCATCTTCTCCAGCTCACCTTATTTTCTTTATGAAGAACCTGAGAACTCTTACCGTCGTTCTTCGGAGGCAAGCCACAGAGGTCCTAAGATTGTTTTAAAAAATTCGAAATCCGCACACAAGCCCTTCCAACGTTCTCCAAAACTGTCATACTCACTACCGATCTCTTCTAGGTCTCACACCCCCAATTCGCTGGGTTACAGGGCAATGCAGCTCACCCCAGCTCCGACCAGCATCGTCCCGGCAGCATCCTTTGGTCATCCCGTGGAAATTCCCCCCCAAGACTTCCCTAGATCTCTCTACCAGATCTCACGCTCCTGCATCGCAGGTTACAGGGCAACACCCCAGCACCGGTCAGCGTCGTTCTGGCATCGAACGACCAGAGAACACTGAGTATAACAGCGTTGGAATCACCAAGGAAGAGTTAGCAGGGACCCAAAAATCATAAAAAACATTCCTAGGACCGCTAAGCACCCCACACTTTTTGGGACATTCGAAATTCTTTAGAAATTTATAACTAGTATTATGATTAATAACCATAGAAATTTGAAAAAAAACGGGGGGCAGAAACTATCTACTATCCTAAAATCCCCCCTCAGCAGACGAAGTGTCAGTCCAGGCTTTCAATCTTCGTACCGAAACTCAATTGATCTCATACCCCCGACTGCTAGGGTAACGGGGCACCACAACCCTCCCCAGTACCGACCAACCTCGTTCTGACGGTCAGGAAGTGTCTTCCTCCCTCGACAGTTTCTGTAGCGGCAAACCCCAAACAGGTTATAGGGTCAATACCCCGGCGCCAGCCTCGTCGGACGGTCTGGTTATGCACTCGGCATAACCTCGCAGGCCTCATGCCTTCCTCCCTCGACAGTTTCTGTAGCGGCAARCCCCAAACAGGTTACARGGTCAATACCCCGGCGCCAGCCTCGTCGGACGGTCTGGTTATGCACTCGGCATAACTTCGCAGGCCTCAAGCTCCCCCCGGGTCACAGAGCACAAGCTCCAGCACCGTCCTGAGTCGTCCAATCGCCGTCCTTCTAACCTACTTACCCTGACCGAATACCCTCCTCTGTTGAGAATCCCTTTCTTCCCTCCACCAACTTCAATCCCCCGATTTTTTGAATCAGAAAATCCTTCAGAAACCTAATTTAGAAAATGGTATTAAAAAACAAAATTCAGGAATTCTATCTAAACCATCTTATAGAATTTAGAACTAAAACGAGCGACAGATCAGAAGTTTAGATTTGAAATTATTCCAAATGAAAAATGACTTCGAGAATCATAGATTTAGAAATGGAATTAAAAGCAATGAGAGGAATCAGCTGTGATGTCCAAAAGGACTTCCGATTCAGATTCCTAGAACCCCAAGATCCCATGAATCGTTGTGATAGTAAATCAAAGGAAAGTAATGTGTAATATCCGAAGGGACTTTCGATTCAGATTCCTAGAACCCCAAGGTCCCAAGAATCGTTCTGATAGTAAATTAAGAATTACCAATTAGCAAGAACAAGACAGCGATCAGGATATGTGTGAAAAAAACAAGCGAAGCGATCAGAATATGTGTGGAAAAACAAGCGAATTTAAATCCGACGCAAACAATCGAAAAAGTGCAAGCTACCAATCAATTTTAAATCCCATCTAGGGATCATAGAATCAGGATTGTTAATTATGATCAACAGTACTAGTTACACAATCAGACAGATATCGAGACAAACAAACACGATCAAGGTCAAACAGAAGAGGAACATCATACCCTTGACAAACCTTGAATACACCCCCCCTCTCTCCCAACCTCACCTCCTCGCTTCATTGGCTTCTCAGCAACTCGGCCGCCTGTGATTGATAACCATTCAACCAACCAATAAAACCGAACGATGATAATAATAGGACCGCAGTTAGGATTGTCGTCGCAGCATACCAAACCACGTCACGAGAATAAGCCGATGAGCCCGCCAGCCGCCCCTCGCAGGTAGTCCGAAAAGATGAGGGGGAGTCCACGTTGCAGATGCCATCCTTCCCCTACCTCCTAGTAACCCTCTCCCTCCAACCCGTAACCCTTCCTTCCCCTATTCTCCCACCCACCGTGTTCCTCCTCTTCCACTAAGACCTTTGGTGTGAACTGTTCTGCCCAACGACGCCAGACACACTTTCTTCCATCCCTTCTTGTGTGAACCTCGCCATCCCAGCACTCCCGCCACTCTTCATTCCTACTCATCCGCAAGACCCGCCGTCACATCCGCCCACCTCCTCCTCGCGTCGATCTTGTCGTCGCTGCGCTCCGCCGCTTCTCATTCCCGCTCTCTCCGCGAGGCCTGCTGTCGCGTCCAAGCGCCGGGCTGCTGTCGCGTCCAAGCGCCGGGCGGCGGAGCGCTCCCGGTAGCGCTGAAATACAGTTGTACTCAATTTTGTTGGTAATATTGGAATGTAATCATTATCTACAACTAAGAAAATTAAAAATTTCCAGCAAAAAGATGAGTCCAATAATACCACCTACAGGCAAATAAGGTAATACTATTTCGTGAATTTCTGCTATCTTTATATTTGGCATCATAACCACAAATAAACATAGAACAGCAATAGCTCCTACATAAAAATCTGGGCCATCAGATCTTGACTATTGACAAGCCCAGATTGGGCCCAGATGCTGCGGCACTTGCAGCAGCGGCTGCATGAGCCATATGCGCTGCAACAGCGGATGCAGCAGGTGCAGCAGATGCTGCATTTGCAGCAGCAATGTTGCATCTGCTACTCCATGTGCTGCAAATGCTCCAGTTGCAGCAGCTTCTGCACCCGCTGCAGCAAATGCTGCATCTGCTGCAGATGCGGCAGCTGCTACAGCAGATGGAGCACCACGTGCAGTATCTGCTGCACAGGCAACGCCTGCTGCAGTAGACGCTGGTTTCTGCAGACATGGGCGAGAAATAGCGGTTGGGTGTCAATCTCCGCTGCAGGAGGATTGAAGTTTGCAGATTGGCTGCACCCTTAAACCTCAGGCCGGTTTCATGATTTCAGGTCATTTAAGGCCCCCGGTAACAAAGAAGACCTGGTTTTAGTATTCAATGACATTTGTTGTTAGGAAAGTGAGATGTTTTTCCTTTTTCCCTTTTTGTGAGGAGGATATGGTGCAGATGGTTTTGTAATTTTGCTGGTAGTAGTACAAAAAAAAAAAAAAAAAAAAAAAAAAAAATCTGGCCTTGGGATAATTTTCCCTTAGATCCTAATCCTGACCCCACCCTGATGAAGGGGAGTGGGTCATGGGTCATTGGGTCTTGGCTTCGTTAGACATTGTACTTTACAGGGACGCTGGACCCGATTTCCAGCAGGTGCAGCTCCCCACCAATAGATGGAGCCTCCCCGACATTGCTACAGGTGTCTGCTTTTATCAGCACCTCTAGCAACCGCTCCGGCAGTTTTTTCTGCAAAAAAAAATAAATGGAGTGGTAGCTAGATGCCCAGGATTTAATGCTTTTTAGTCAAGCGCAGGCTTTTGCGTGGGTTCTACTGACTGTGTGGAGGATGGTTTAGGCAAGTTGGAATCTTTATTTGGTTGGAAGGTGAGCCTTGGCTCGTAAGCTAAACAGGCTGATGCTGCCGGGATAACTCCGGGTAGAATTGTGGGGTCCCTGGCGCCGTTTCAAATTGTCTTAATTCAAATTGTCTTTGTATTAAAAAAAAATAAAGAAAAAAGAAAAAAAATATCCCAGGTGCCTTTTCCGTCCTAGGGCCTGGACCCACTGGCGAATTTTTTTATTTTTTTTTTTAAGGCTACGATGTGTGACGCAATTTTATGTTTTTTTGGAAAATACGAATTGATTTTTTTATTTGCATGAATGGATCGTTTTCTGATTTAAAATGAATTGAAATAGCACATAAAACTATGAA